CTGTTAGCTGCCGCACGATCCGCTGCCGATCGTATCGATGAACTTGGGTCCACAACAATGTAATTCATGAATCACACAATGCACACACACACACACACACACACACACACACACACACACACACACACACACACACACGTATCTTAACTCTGGCTCTCTCTCGCATTTTTGGCTGCATTAGGCAATAAACATGATCGGGACGGAGATAAGATTTTCCATTTGGGGAAAAAAATTACGCGATGATCGGTAAGTCGAGATATACTTGAACACACACACACACGGAGAAACGGACACGCGTCGAAAATCGTATTTTCAATTGTTCATTATGCGCATGATAATTCATCTAATGAGTACATATATGTACACAATAATAATATGTAAGCGCGTATATGAGTTTTATCTTTGGCGCATATATATAAATTCCCAACGCCAGTCTTACGGTATTATAAAAGCGATCTGCAAGGCCAAAGTCATGGCCATATAAACGCGTGTGTATATACACACACATGTGCGTGTGTGTGCAAGTATATGTACGTTCGTGATTGTTATATATAAATATAAAATCCTTACACATTTGTAAGAATATACACAGACGTGCACGTCAAGTCTGCGCGCGCGCGTTCACGTAATTCTTGGCAATAATCATCGTCATTAATAATTCATATTTAAAATATTTACTCAGCCATTAAAAAAAAAAAAAAAAAGAAAAATTTATTTAACCTTTATAAACATGATTTTTATCGATGTTATACAATAAACAGTAAATTAAATCTGCCGACAGTTTTAATGCGCGCGCGCGCGAGGCATACGTGCAGCTTTTCACCGCTCTTATTTCGAATGCTCCGAGAGAGTTATATAACTGGTTTTTTTTTCTCTCCCTCTCGCTCGTATATTTATTTAATTTTTCTTTTTTTTTTCATTTCGTGCTTATGAAAAAATAAAAAATGTTTATAACGTCGATGTCGGAAGAGAGAAGCTCGGAGTGCGTTGCGCGTACTACATTAGCGCGCCGATTACGAATCTACTCTTGACTTGTTTATCCGACAAATTTTCACTCGTATACACAACACCGCGTGCGTGTATATTTACGCGCTCGCACAAAGAATGTCTTCTCTCTCTCTCTCTCTCGTTCATTTCCACACCTTCCGATCTCGAACTTCGACACGCAGATTTGCCGTTAGATGCACACGCGAAGAAAAGTTTCCGTTCATTTTTCAAAGCCGCACGAAGCAGAAGCAAAAGCAGAAGCAGCAGCAGCGGGCGTGGAAGAGTCAACGAACGCTCGCGACGGGACATTTGTTTTTCTCTGCGTTCGTGTGTGTGTGCATATACCTGCCATCGATTCGTCATAGCTGCCGATGAGGCGCGCGCGCACAGTCAAGGTCGATCGAAATCTTTCCGATGTATAATATAATCGGCCGCTGCGCTCTCTGTCACGTATAGATTTCGATCGGCCAACCTAAATTTGACCAAATGAGCACTAAGAACTTTTAATCGAAGATATTCAAATTTTATGCACAAAGTCATGGTATTTTTCAAGTTCACCGTTCGAGATTTAGAATGACGGATAGAAATTTCGACAAGTGCGAGAGGCGCAAGTCGTGTTTGCTCTACGAATCAAGGACTTTCTCGCTCGATTTATAAGCTTTTCAATCGTTATATCCTTTCCGATGCATGTAATCGAGTATCGCGATATTGCATCAGAATCTCGAGAGAGCAGTAATGGAAAAAACTTTTCAAAAAAAAAAGCCAAATCTCATTTCGAGGATACGCGCGAGAAAAGATAAACAAGACAAAAACCCGTCGTTCGCGCGGAGAGAGCGAGATAAGAGGGCGAAAATAGATTTTCGTTTTACAGAGCAATAGCTAGCTAGCTAGAAGAAAGCTGCGGGTGTATCATGGTCACACCTGGGGCCCACCACCATCACAGCTACACACATAATAGGAGAAACAATTCAGCCGCGATCGCCTCGCGCGGCCGTCGCCGATTATAAGCTCGGATAAGAGTCGCCCATATACGAGACTCGCGCGCGCGCAGATATTTACTTTAATCCGCGCGCGCGCGCGCCACATAAACCGAAAATCGTGAGAAGCGAATAATGCCTTATTATAACGAGGGGGGTTGGTGATCGTTTTAACGAATTTTTGCGCACCAACTTGCACGCGCAGCTTTCCATGTGCGATTACATATTGCATGCAATTATTACGCGACGCCGAATGTTTTGCGGAAGATTTTTTTGCGTATCGCGAGTCGACTCGACGACGACGATGACGACTAATAAAAACGCATATATACGATATCGACTTTTGACTTTTTGGCAATTAACGATTATTTGGGTGTTGAGGAAATCAATCATATCAGTATGCACGCGAGCGAGCATGAGAGGCGCGCATAATGTAAATTGTATAAATATATGTGTATATTTGTGATCAGCCAAGCGAGATTAGATAAAGCTCCTGTGGCTTCAATGTTTTGCTTTTATTTTTTTTTTTCTGCCGATTGTATACAATGTAAGCGCGCACGCTAATTTATCTTTTTTTTTCTTTTGCTCTCGCTTAACTCGCTAGAGAGAGAGAGAGAGGAAGAAGAAAAGGGGGGGGGCGACGGAGGGAGGTTAAAAAAATAAGCGAATATATAATATTGAAAATTGATTGCGTCGGAGAGCGCAGAGAGATAATGATATATATTTCGCGTTATCGAGAAACATAAATTTCGCCTTGACATTGGCATCGGCGCGCAAGGACGACTTTTCTTTCTTTCTTTCTTTCTCTCGCTAATTGCGCGCGATAACAACTGCAGCGATCAAACGCCGATGATTTTTGGGAAAATCATTGACCTTCCCATCGTTATACAATGTGTGTGTGTGTAGCGCTGCGAACGCACATGTGCGCGGAGCGTGACACATAACGATGTTTTGGCAAAAATCGATCGCGACTGTCAAATATTATTTCGAGCTTCGTTCGTTCGCCGCGATGACATTCTGTATGTAATACCGATTCTACCGATCGTTGAATTGGCGATCGAAAAAGAAAAAGAGGAAACCTTCGCGCATATAATAATTTATTCGATAGATAATGGTCGAGGATCGATTTGCGACTCGGATGCGATATAAATTCAACGTTACATCGCTACGTATCGCTACGTATATGAATTTGCCGCTCGCGGATGATGCAAATCCCTCGGAGCGTTTTATGCCTGCCTGCCTCCGCCGCACGGATGAATCGGCGGGCTCGCGCGAGAAACATTTCCTCGCGGCTTAATTAAGTATAAATAATATAATCGTCTCTCGATTTAACCGCGCGCGCGAGCAGCTCCTACGATGATTAATGGCTTTTAACGAAATATTACAACAATAACAGGCAAGAGAGAGAGAGAAAAAAAGGAAGAAGAAGAAGAAGTAAGAAGAAGAAGTAAGAAGAGGAATCAAGGTCAGCTTCGCGAAGAATGCACAACAGGCGCCTATATACACATATATACACAATATTCCATTACTATAACGCGGCGAGCAACAGAGCACAGGTACATATACAATATAACAATACATATATGATATGATTAAACGTTCCGTATAGCGTCAAAAATATGCCACACTAAAGTAAATACTCTCTCGTATATATATATAGCCGCGACTCGCCGCGGCGGAGAGCTCGAGCGAGCGATGCGGTAATTGCGCTCGTGCACGCGATCGCAGAGTAGGTATACACATATAATACCGCAGCGCGAGAGATCCACGCGCGCAGCCACCCGAGAGCTGCTTCCTCCTATGTATGTACGTTTTATTTTTGATCCGCGCGTGTGTGTGTGAGTCCAACGTAATCGCTAATGATATACATTTAATAACAAAACGACGATATGTATTAATTGTATATCGATGTAATGTAATTGCCTACATCGAAAACGCCTGGTAATTGTTTACACGGAATTCGCGCGTATCGCGACGCGGTGATACAAAACATTATTAATAATAATAAAAAAAAGTTACGCGCTCGCATGCGTCGTCGTCGCGCAGTTGGGTCGGAGAGAAAGAGAGAGAGAGAATTTTGCGAGGCCCGCAATGCCGATCGAGACTTACGTCATTTTTGTTTCAATAAAAAATTATACGTATAATAATATAACATTAGCCGAGAGAGAGATTTAGTTTGAGAGAAAAAAAAATTATAAGCGCATGCCGATCGCGAGAGAGAGTAGAGAGAATGTCTCTCGGATAACGGTTTGCTTCTTCGTCGTCGTAGCTTCTTCTTTTTTTTTCATCGTTGCACACACCGGAATCGACCGAATGTAATATAGAAGATAGACGCGTATTGGGAAACGCTGCATTTGTTGTACATATCGTCGCTTTTAAATTTTCGTTATCGCAAATCTTCGGGGCGAAGGAATAATAATTGCCAGCATCGCGATAAGCTGCTCTCCGGTGCCGTTCATGTAATAATTGGTATTATCGTCATCCGAGTAACTTTCAATATCTCTTTTCGATGTCACGCATAATGACATTTTAGGCATTTAGGGTCGAATTACTCGATGACAGCTCCGAGTGCAGCAGAGACAAACTTTGTGTGCGCCCCGCGCAAATCGGTGCTACATCGTTATAATATTATTATATATCTGCCTAGCGCCGCGATCGGCACGTCGTCGCTTTATCTCGATTCAAGTACAAATCGGTATGACTAATTAAGCGGAATTCGTGTATAAAAAACGCGCTGCTCGGAGATCGATCTATATATCGTTGGAAAAAAAGAATCGATAATAGTTAATCCTGCGCGATCTGTGTACATTACTGGAAATTATTAATTACGTGAGTAAGTGTGTTTCCAGTTGATTGATAATAAAAAAAAAAAAAAAAGAGTAGAGAAGAATTATCGGGGATACGGAATGCCAATGTAATGTATGCACATACCGTTCGAATACTCGCGATCGGTTCTATATGAGTTACGACGATCGAAAGAAAAATACGAATCGATATAGATGCGACTGAAAAAGCTCCATAGGGCGTAAAACTTACTTTGGATCCGTGTGTCACTGCAGCTTCGTAGGGTTGACGATCTCCGTGGACGAAGTCACCATATACACGCGCACTCGAGATCAAAAGCTCGCGCGTCTCGCTTCGAGCTTGCGAACGAGAGTAATTCAATAACTTTTTGTACGCGCGCGCACTGGTCAATTAAGTCAGCACACAAGTTTTGAGATACACGAGTCCAGTCCTTTATCGACTCGAAACTCTCGGAGCTTATAGCCGCGCGGATGAACGATCGGTTACATACCGATCACATATGTATAGGCGGCTTCCGCTGAACGACGAGCTGGGAGAGAGATGGACACACGCACACGTGTGTGTCGACTCGGCTTGCGGGGCCTCTGCACGCGACAATAGGTAGTCCGACGATGCACTCTCGCGCGCGTTTATTGTCATTGATGCGCTTGCAGCGACGGTGCATATATGCGCACGCTGCAGGGGGTCTCTTACACTTTCTTCTCTCTTTCTCACCGGTCACCTCGAATCACTGATGTCAACGTCGACTCATCTCACGCGCACGCACATCACTGCTACTACTATCATTACTATTATTGCATTACGAGCACCACCCACGCATGCGAGATCCTTATCGATATTACGAATCAAATTTATATTCCTCTCTGTCGTTGTCGTTGTTGTTGTTGTGGCTGCTGTCACGCGCACGAGTCAAATACGGCGCACGTTTACTCGCAGTGTATAGTAAAGTAAAGAGAGAGAGCCTCGCGTACGTTAAGACTACGTCAGCTCGACTCGGTCCTCGGACTTGATCTGAGGAGGGCTCGCAGCGCGGCTCATCCTCCGCTCACGGCTCATGCCTCTCGCTCTCTCTCTCTCTCGCTCGCGCGCGCGCGCCAATGTTTGTGGTTCGCCACCACCACCACCACCACCACTACTATATGCTCGTTTCGCCGCTGCCGCTGCCGCTGCATTCGCACTGCTGCGCTGCGCTCGCGTATACGTACACATGCCTCGGCCGTTTTCGACTCTCTTTTTTACCACCACCACTACTACCACCGAGAGCACGAGGCAGCAGCAGTCACCACCACTACACTACTATATATATATATGTGCACAACTATACTACTACTTTGCCTTGCCGATTTCGAGCGCCGAGCGCAATCTCGAGTCGACAGAGAGAGACCGTATATAGCCGTATGCGTGTGTGTATACCTTTTTGCACGGAGCAGTAAAGCGATCGCTGCTGCTGACGCTACCACTGCTTTCTGCCTGCAGTCTGCTGCCTATGTGTGTATGTATATTCGAGCGCTGCGCTCAGAGACACTCGGAAGAGAGAGAGAGAGAGAGGAAGACAAAAAAAAAGAAGAGAAGCCGAATTTTGACGTATGCGATCCTCTCTACGTGTACGTATGCACGCGCGCCGATTGACAGCTATCTCGCGCCGCAAGTCGAGCTTTAATAAGTTGCGACGCGATACGAAATTTCGAGAATCTTCGTTAAAGGGTAATGCATGGGGTTTTTCGAGCAAAGTAATCAAGTGGGTACACGCATACAACTCGAGAGCAACGAGCTTTTTTACGAGCTTCGAACTAAAACACGATGACGAACGAGCTAAAGTACAACGACTACGATCGTTTAAATTGCTGAAAATTCTGTTTTCTCGATGTTCGAGGATGACGATCATCCTTTTAACGATCGTACGGGGAGAGCACTTTATCGCATAAACTCGCCTGCTATGCGTAATTACAACTCGTGTATGCAATATACAAAGCACTGCGCGCGTTAATAAAGCACGACGAGTGCAGTGCGGTTCACCTGGACCGTTGAATTTTCTGACTCATTCGCACCTATTATACATGCGTTTGCCAAGAGTCAATGGCACATCTTTGTTTCTTCATCTTCTCTCTGCATCTCTCTCTCTCTATCTCTCGCGGGTCTTTGTGCACAGCTCGTAAGGCAGAGCTACTAAGCATTTTTTTACAGTTAAACAAAAACCTGAATCGTCCGAGCGAGCGAGACAGAGAGAGAGAGAGAGAAATCATCAGCATATATGCACCTTGCCCGTATTTGACGCACAGATTAACGACCTCTTTGGCGTTCGTTTTGCGAGTTTATAACCCGTGTGTCATTGCACTCGTTCTCTCTCGTGTCGGCGCACAGAAAAATTAATTAACGATCGTTTTTCCAATTATCCGAATGCGTCTTAGTCGTTGTCGTGCTTTGTATACTTATATTGTATAAACACACACACAACACTGGAACTCGACTCGACTCGCACAAGTTTGGAATCGACTCAACAGAAACAACGAAATGATTCATATATTTAGCGATCGTCGTCGTCGTCGTGTAGTACCTGTCCTCTTGTGCGTCGAGCGAGAATGTATCTATAATAACGAGCGGGCAGAGATGATATCTCGATCGTCGTAAGCGTGAACGAGCGAGCCGAGGATTATTGAACCTGCTGTAGAGCGCGCGAAAATGTCCCGCGCGATATACCACCGCATCAGCTTCTCTCTAATTATAATATGCGTGCCCGGGCTATTGAACCTTTGTTTTTTCGTTGGTTTCGTTTTGTTTCGATTTTTACATTTACGCACGACTCGATGTGGTACACTCATGGGGCAATCCGGACGTAGCTTCCCTTCGTGCGTGTGTGCACACCACGATACGCGAAAGATGCGCGCGCGCTTGCGAGAGTTTGCAAATTTCCGAATGCATTATTCACGCGCGTATAGAGAAAGACGCTCTCTCGCGCGCGTCGTAGAATAGTTAAAAATTTTGAATTCTTCGAGTTATTGGCGGTCGCGCGGACTCTCGCGACGAGCAGCTTATATTGAGTTCAAGTGCCATCCTCGGGCCGGGATAGTCGCTTGTATATATACACAGAAACAGCACACATTATCTCTATATATATGTATACAAAAGCCTCGCTGCAGTGAGCAAAACACGATAATTGAGGAAAGTTTAAGAATGTGCTTAATGGCAAAGTCTGAATTATCGCTCGCTTCGGCTCGACGTGCCGCGTTCGCTCGTTCGTTCGTTGGTTGGTTCGCGTCGGGCCCCAAGACTCGTCGAGCTATTTCGCTCCGATGTTTAATTTCGCTGGTTTTCCTTTGTTGAGGTTTCGCCTCTCTTTGCGTTGCAGCAGCAGCAAGTCTGAAATCTCTTCTTCTTCTTCTTCTTCTGCGACTACTACTACTACTACTACTACTACTACTACTACTACTACTACTACTACTACTACTACTACTACTACTACTGCTATGGTACACAGCTACGCATCGCATCGTCTCGACGTATACAACTGCATTAAACGGGGGACCAGCGCGAGATCGCTGTATAATATTATATAGCCGTGGCGCACAGCATTTGTCTTATCTTTTATTTATAATTGAATTGATGGCTCGAAGTTGACTTTAATGGACTCCGAGCAGCTCTGCACCGTGGCGCGCTGTCTGTATATTAAGAAGAATGTGTATATCTATATACATTAGAGGCGATTGTCGACGTAGAACCGACAACTACTATATACTCGACGGACGGATGGATGACGAAGACGACGATGGGCGATGAGAATTAGAGTCTCTGAGCCCGTGCCCGCGTATATACCATACCAAAGCTGCACAGAGTGTATATATAGTATTCTATCTAGCGAACGAGCGAGAGGAAGAGATGCGGTTTTGATTTATGTTAATTAGTTTAGATTTAACGATTGCGCGCGGATCGTCTCTCGCTCTGTTATCTAGCGGTGATGCTGCTGCTCGTAGCCCATACCGTTAAAAGTGCATTTTTCTCATTTCCTCCCCTCCTCCTCCTCTTTATCTCTCTCTTACTTACTTACTCCTAGAGCCTGAAAACGTTGCATCTCTCGTTCGGCCGCCGCGAGTATTAAATACCATATCGCGGAATTACGAAATCGCGCGCGGTACGGACTAATACACCGAGAATTCCTAATTTTGCCGTTTGACGGCCTTGACCGCGCTATACACGAGAGATAATGTACACACACGCACACAGAAGTCATGTACGCAGGGGATACGAATTCGAAATTCATCGTATGCGCCGCGCTCGATCGAATAATAATATGCGTTATATACCTGCCAGAGCTAATATTAAAGCTTCGGCACGGGCGTCGAGTATTATTATACACGTATAAACATTTCTCGTAATACGTGGGTTTCCATACTGCGGCGCTGTTACATATGTTTAATCGAACGATTTACCGATACACGCCAGGTCTATATGCGATATTAACACACAAACACGCGACACATCGACGATCGCTGAGAGAGAGAGAGAGAGCGCGCAAATACATAATATGTATACACAGACCTCAAGAGTGCAGTGCAAAGTTAAACAAACACACGAACGCAGATAAACAATTGTCAGTCGCTGATCGAAGCTTATAACACATTGCACACCGCAGCAGCCGATCGTTTAAGCGCGATGCCAATAATGCGGCGTGTATGCGTCGAATCGAAACAACGACAAAACTCGAGCCTGGCAGCATACACACACAAAATTGCAATATACGTATTTACAAGGCGACTGCAGTTAAGTTAAGACAGAGAGAGAGAGAGAGAGAGAGAGAGACAGCCGAGAATTACAGAAATTTTCGCGCCGATATCGAATGACTCGAAGCTTATAGCTGCTGCTGCTGTAGGTGCAGGCGTGTGGTGCGCTTAGTGACTCTCAGGCGGCCCATTATAAAACGTATAAGATCTCGGCTGGCGTATACCTAATTAATCGAACGCGCCGAGTATATGTATATAAATACGCGGCACGGCTCTCTTTTCCTCGCCTACTATACAACTTAAATACTAGTACTGTGCTATATAGCCGCGATCGCATTTTGACGCTGACACGCGAGGGCCGCGGGTGCCGAGATAATATGCTCATGCACACGGCAGACACAGAGAGAGAGAGAGAGAGAGAGACAGCTCTCGATTACTCCCTTCGATCTCTAGTAGCAGCTATTATATCGTGCCTATTTCGACACACTCGCCGCGTCTTGGCGTTCGCGCGAGCCGAGCGAGTGATAACGTGTAGCACCACCGCCGCTGCATTCAAATTTCGCGCTCACCAATATTATAACGCACAGTAGTGGTAGTAGTAGTAGTAGTAGTAGCTGTGCGATACACGGACGCGATAACGAGCTGCACGCCAGCAGTCCAGTCTTTATCCGAA